TTGAGGTCCTTGAGGGTCTCACAAGTCCCCTAATAGGAGAGACAGACACTAGACCAACTCAGGCTGACCAGGGCTGGGAGATAGGGTGGTTCTTGAGTGTGAGGCTGGGTGGAGGAGTGAGACAGGTAGGGTCAGAGAAGTCCTAACAATGGAAGAAGTATGTTTCTATCTTTGGATCTATACTTCGGGCTCAGGATTGTAGGCTATGTGAGTTTCAGTGTGGAGTGGGTTGCTGGGACAGGAAAAGAAAAGAGAAATCAAGGGTACAAATGTGTAGAATAGAGCATATGGGGAGGGGGTATGAAGAGAGGCTGCAAACCCCAAATTCTCCTAAAATGAAAAGTCTCAGGTACTAGCCCCCTCCTCCCTCAGACTCAGGAGTCCAGGCCTCTAGCCCCTCACCCACTAGACCCAGGAGTCCAGGCCCCCAGCGCCCTCTTCCCTCAGACCCAGGCCCCTCCTCCCTCAGACCCAGGAGTCCAGGCCCTGACATGCTCAGACCAAGAGGCCCAGGCTCCCATCATCCTCTCCTATCTTGGGACCCAAGTCTGTCTCTCTGTGTGGCAGTGAGTTTGGGGAGACGCCTTTCCCATGCTGGGCAGTTGGAGAACTGATGACTGTGTGTGTGTGTGTGTGTGTGTGTGTGTGTGTGTGTGTGTGTGCGCGCGCGTTGGGAATTCAGGGTAAGAAAAGGAGTCAAGATGCCTATCCCTGATTGGGAAAGGATACAAAGACACAAATACCCTAAAATCAAGGATCTAGAGCCTCCTTGAGACCACAGGAGTACGTGCCACTAACCCCTCCAGCACCTGGGACTCATCCTGGTCCCAGCATGATTACCTGGGAGGAGACTTGGCCAAGCAAGGGCGGGGGTGAAGGAATCCCGGCAGGGCAGGGTAACCGGGATGCCAGGGCCTTGGTGAGGAGAAGCCAGCTTGGCAGCAAGTCAGAGCGGGAGGCGCTGTCCTAGGTGTCTCAGCTCAGCTCCTTGATCACACAATGGGGGACCCCAGAACCATCCTGGTCTGCCTCTTTGGGGCTGTGCTCTACCTGACAGGTACCTGGATTTCTACATCCTCAAGAAGAAAGGGCCCAGGGGACTGCACTCCTGGGTCTGAGAGAGGAGGGGCTGAGGGCTGGACTCCTGGGTCTGAGAGAGGAGGGGATTGGGGTCTGCACTCCTGGGGCTGAGGGAGGAGGGGACTGGGGTCTGCACTCCTGGGGCTGAGGGAGGAGGGGCTGAGGGCCTGGACTGCTGGGTCTGAGGAAGGAGAGACTGGGTCTGAAGAAGGAGGGCTCTGGAGACTGTGACCCCTCCTCTGGTCTTCCCCCTTCTTTCATCCTCTCCTGTGCTGGCTTCCTATCACTCAGCCCTTGGCATCTTCCTTTCTCCCTGTCCTATTCAAGGGCACTCTTGGGAGGCCATGGGGCTTTAACTAGAACAATCTGGAGCCTGGGCCTCATCTTCAAGCCAAACATCCCGCATTTACCTTGGAGCAAGGATAGGGGCATATTCAAACCAGAAATGAAGTGGTGATAGAGTCAGGGAAGGTGAGGGTGGGAAGAAGCCACACCAGCACACAACCGAATTGGTGTGTGTCTTACTTCTCTAGTGTTGCTGTGACAAAAATACCTCAAGTTAGGTGGCTTTAACCAACAGAAATTTGTTTTCTCACAGTTTTGTTGTTGTTGTTAAGTGCCATCAATTCAGTTCCATCTCATAGTATTGGGTTTCCAAGGAGCTACTGGTGGGTTTGAACCACTGACCTTAGGGTTACCAGTCCAGTGCTTATCCTACAGCGCCACACCAGGGCTCTTGCACTTTGGAGGTGGTGGTTATTTCAGAGCGTCTGCTCTAAGAGAAGATTTCTCTCTCTGTTGGCTCTGGAGGACGGTCCTTGTCGCTTCTTCAACTTCTTGGTTCCTAGGAGATCTCTGGGTGTCTTGGCATCTACGTAACTCCATTTCTGCTTCTAGCTTGTGTTTAATCTCTTTTCTATCTCAAATGAAATTGACTCAAGATACAGGATACATTAATCTTACCTCATGGACATAACAAATGCAATAATTCCCAAATGGGATTATAAATACAACCATGGAGGTTAGGATTTACAACACTTGTATGTATTGTTGTATATATATTACAACACTTGTATATAACATATATATATATATATATACATATTTGTATATACTATTTTTGTTACTGTTGTTAAGTGCTGTTGAGTCAGTTCCGACCCATAGCCACCCTGTACAGGATTTCCGAGGAGTGGCTGGTGAACTTGAACCACCGACCTTGTGTTTACTTGTATATGTGGGGGGGAACCACAATTCAATCCGTAATAATGTATGTCTGTCAGCCCACGTGACAGTGCTTGACTTCCGTGCGTATCCATGTGTCTGTGTGTCTTTGGGGATGTCTGTGCTTCTGTATTTTTTCTGCACCAGGTTTTAATGTCTGGGTATTTGAACAAATGCTTTTGTGGGTATGGTCATCTCTGATTTTCAAACTCTTTGTAAAAAAAAAAAAAAAAATCATAATTTTGCATATCTGAGTTACTCTGTGACTGTCCCTCTTTGTGACTTGTGGGTTGGTATTTATTTAAGTCTGTGTATATATTTTCAACCACAAGATCAGTGGTTCAAACCCACCAATGCTCCTCGGAAACCCTATACAAGGCTGCTATGAGTCGGAACCAACTCAGCGGCATTCAACAACAAAAACAACATATGTTTTCATGCACTTCAATGTGTGCTTATCTTTGTATCTCTGTGTTATACATCTCTGTGTCTTGAATCTGTTTCAGTTAGGTACCTTGAAGTCACTTCCAACTCATAGTGACCCTGTGTACCACAGAAGCAAATCAATGCCTGGTCCTTCACCAGCCTTACTGTCACCCCCATGTTTCAGCCCATGGTTGCAGCCTTGTGTCACTCCATCTCATTGAGGGTCTTTGTCTTTTTTACTGACCCTCTGCTTTATCAAGCATGATGCCCTTATCCAGGGTATCAAACCCAAAGCAAGTGAGACAGATGAGGGAGCATCTAAGGAGCATCCTGGCTTTGAAGCCTCCTGGATGAGATTGTAGATAATATGCATCGGGTTTTTAAATCATACTATTTTATTCTCTTTCAGTGAAGGTTTACACAGCAGCTTAGAGTCCCATTCAATAATTTCTTCCCACATTGCTCAAAGAGTGTAGTGGTTACAAATCGGGCTGCTAACCTCAAGGTTGGAAGTTCAAAACTACCAGCCGCTCCATGGGAGAAAGATGAGGCTTTCTGCTCCTGTAAAGATTTACAGCCTTGGAAACCCTGTGCAGGGTCGCTATGAGTCAGAATTGACTCCACAGTACTTAACCACAACAACCCACATTGCTCAGTGACTTTACTTTAAAATCAAGATGAGGTTGTTTACTTTACATTTACATTGTTTACTTTAAAACCACGGGGGGGCAGAGAAATTAGATTCACAAACACAACAGCCAGAACCAGAACTGTGAGAATGTTCACGCCTTGTGAAGAATGTAATCGTGAAGCATTTGGTGTCCCACCGGTGATTGTTTAAAGGAGCACAGTATTGTGGGTGATATTCTTAATTTTCTGAGTCAACTTGTTCTTAAACTACAAGGTGCCTTCTAGAGTTAAGTTTCAATTTGAGGTTCTGTTCGACATTTTTCTTCCATTCTACCAGGATCCATCTATCGAGTAAACCATAAGTTTCTATGGATCTATTTTTATATATCTCTGTCCTGGTGTGGCATTGTAGGATAAGCGCTGGATTGCAAGGTTGGCTTGAACCATAGGTCGGCCATTCAAACTCACCAGCTGCTCCTCAGAAACTTTACGCAGGGTAGCTATGAGTCGGAGCTGATTTCACAGCAACAGCAAGAAGAAGTTTACATAATTGTGTGTTTCCTCATTTTATTTGTGTGTCTGTGATTCTTGGGTTTGTGTTTCTCTATATATATATATGATTTCATGTATTTCTTGGGCCTGTCTATGTGGGTCTTGCTTCCATATACGTTCACATTTCAGTGTTGCATTTGGCTTTGTATGTGTGAAATACTGTGCCTTGCAGAGTTTGTAGTGAAGGAGCTAGGTGTGGGGTTGTTTCATAGAATGTAGAATTCTGCATGAATGGTCACGCCTTTCTGTATCTATTTGCATGAATTTGTGCCCATTTTGTTTTGCGCTTGTGCCTGCATTTAAGTGCTTTGTGCAGTATCTCTGGGTCTCATTGTACATGCCTGATTTATTTTTTTACCTTTGCAAAATATAAATATTCAACATTCTCTTACACAACCAAACTGACCAAGGATAGATACAAGATTCTAGATCATTCCATGTATTGAAGTGCTTGGTTTCCCTAAATGGTCTTTTGGAGTCCTGGTGTAGCATTGCAGGATATTGTGCTGGACCACAAGCCCAGTAGTTTGAGTTGCAAGGTCAGAAGTTCAAATCCACCAGTCGCTCCTCAGAAACTCTATACATGGTCGCTATGAGTCTGAACCAACTCGATGGCACTTAACAACAACAACAAGTGATCTTTTAGTTCTGTTGATCAACATGTCCATTTTGGTTTTTATGGCACGACATGCATCAAGAGTTAAGCTAGGAAAGGATGGACAGCAGAAATAAATCACTTCTAAATCCTAGAGGGCTCCTCAGAAGAGGTGGATACCTGGAGAGAGTAAACTGGACTGTGCTCAGAGAGCAAGTAACTTGCCCCAGGATGAGGTCAGACCCAACCCTGACCAGCTGATGTAGCCCAACCTGGTTCTCTCAAGGCAACCAGGGCAGGATCTCTTCAGAATAAGGGTCAAGTTGCTGGGATGGGTGCTTCCCTGATCCTGCCAATCCATCACGCCCTTCTCCTCAGAGTCCCAAGCCCTGCAATGCTACAACTTTGAACACACCTACTTGAGCCCCTTTGACCTCAGTGGCAAGTCACTCCCCACAGTCTCCTGTTCTAGCCGATGCTTTGAGGCTGTCAGCTCCCTCAGCACAGGTGAGCGGAGGAGGGTGTGTGTGTGGGGTGTGGGAACGAAAGGGTGGGCGGAGGGCAGGTGGGGATGCATGAGAGGAGTGGAAGAGGAGGGATTAGAGCATGTAGTAGCTGAGAACTGGTAAGGGTACAGACAGAGCATTGGGAAGGTGGAGGAGAGAAGAGAGGAAACCAAGTGGTTAACTCAGCTGCTAATCTAAGGGGTAGTGGTTTGAACCCAACTGATGGGTTCTGAGGAAGAAAGTCCTGGCCATCTACCAACATCAAGGTGACAGCCAAGAAAACCTTATTGAGGAAGTTCTACTCTGTAACACATGGGGTGGCCGTGAGAGGGCCCCCACCACAACCACTAGATGGTAACCACAATAACAACAAAGGGAAGAAAAGAAAAGAGCGATTTAGGAGCAAGAGATGGGGGAGGGAAAGACAATGGAGGATGGAGGAAGACGAGTGGCCAAGGAAGAGTGAAATTAGAAAGGTGGAGAAGGAGTTGACTGGATATGAGAGGGGAAGAAGCGAGGTGAAACAGAAAGAGAGAGGGTTGGGAAGAAGTCAACCGGGGAGAGAAGGAATGATGTCAAGGAGGACGCGCTCTGGGGACTAGGCAGCCGACGAGGCCCCATTTGCGCCGCCCCAGGATATCGGTCCTCCGTGACGATGGTAAAGAAGGGCTGCTGGTCGGGCCCGTCAAACGGCCAGATGCAGGCGAACCAAGACTCGATGCCTCCGGATTACTCGATGGTGCGTGGCTGCACCACTGACCTATGCAATGATAACATCATGAACCACGACAGCATCCCCAACCTGAGCCCAGGTACCCGGAGGGGCGGGGTCACGTGTGGGCGGGGCGATCATGGGGCTGGGAGGGGCGTGGCTTTCGAGCCTCCCTGACTTCTGGTTAGGCCTGCTCCCAGCCTGAGTGCGCAACCCGCTGGTCCGAACTGGGACATGTACCTGAGTGTGCGTCTATGTTCTTGCCAGCCCCTGATCCGCAACTGCTCAGTGGCACCGAATGCTACGCCTGCTTGGGGACCGTCCCGGAAGACTGCACTCCTGACAAGTCTCGGCGGGTCCAATGTCACCAGCATGAAAGTGTCTGTTTCCATGGCAATGGCCGAATCACCATTGGTGAGGGATCGGGAGGGCCTGGGCTAGGAGGTGGAGGCAGGGCAGGTCTGAGAGTGGAGGCACAAGACAGGTCAGACAGGGAGACCTGGTCCTTATCCGAGAGAGGTGGCAATGGCTCTGGTCTGAGGGAGGAGGCATGGCTTAGACCTAGGAGGACGCAAGGAGTGGTCTGATGGAGGAAGTAAGGCCCTGGGCATGAAGTCTGTCTGAGGACTGAGCCATGGTCCTGGGCTCCCTCGGCTCTGACACCCTTCCCCCTCCCCTAGCCAATTCCTCAGTCCCTGTGTACATCAGAACCTGCCACCGGTCCTCCTGCACCATCATGGGTACCACCAGCCCTTGGACGCACATCCACCTCCAGGGCTCCTGCTGCGAGGGCAACCTCTGCAATCAAGGTTCGGTGTCTCAGGTCTTCACCTCTGCGGCTGACCCTTCCCAGGAGACCCCCACCTCTGCGACTGCCCCTTCCCAGGCGACCCCCACCTCTGCGACTGCCCCTTCCCAGGCGACCCCCGTTGCGGTCCTCTTCCTCATAGTTCCCCTACTGTTGGGCACTATAGGAGGACCTCTTGGACTCTCTTCCTAGACCATCCTTGTGGCAGCGTCCTCACGCAGGAGACTGGGACCTGTACCTCTCTCCTCGTGGTTCCCCTGTAACATAGCTTTCTTGAAGATGACGTTAAAATAGAGTATTGTCATTGTTAAGTGCCGTCGAGTTGGTTCCGACTCATCGAGACTCTGTATAGGGTTTCTGAGAAACGGTTGGTGAGGTTGAACTGCCAGTCTTGCAGTTGTTGCTGAATGCCATCGAGTCTGTTTCAACTCATAGCGACCCTGTATTGGGTTTCCAAGGAGCGGCTGGTGACCTTAAGCCGCTGACCTTGCGGTTCAAACCGACTTTGCAGTGCAGCGCATTAACCCACAGCGCCACACCAGAACTCTGCTAACAAAGTTGCACTCCTATTTCTCTGGCGATGACTCTTCAACTCTCTGTGTCCATCCTGTTTCCCTATCGCACCGCTGTGTCTATCTGGTCAGCAGACGCGGGAGAAAATGGACAAGGCCACTTTTGGCCTAGGATGGGGAGAAACCTCATGGCCTGCCCCACATGAAGAACCATCCTGATAACAGCTATAGCTGCTACTTACTTACATTAAGCTGAGCTACCCAGCAAGCACTCTCGCACTTGATTTCCGGTGCGTCCCTTCTTGAACATAGCAACAGCCCCTAGAGGGTGCTAGGATGATGCCTTTAGTAATGTCATCATGAAACCATTTGACGGTATAGCTTCTCAGTTAGGAATCCAGACTCTGGAGCCAGACTGCTAGGGTTCAAATCCCACTTCTACCACTCAGCCTGTGAATAACCCTGGGCAAGTTATTGACCTCTCCGTGCCTCCGTTTCCTTACTTGTGGGGTGGAGATGAGGAGTCCCTGGGTGTTACAAATGGCTACGTGTTCAACAACGAAGTGACAGGTTGGTGCTTCAGAAGAAAGGCCTGATGATCTACTTCTCCACAGTTTAGTCACTGAAAACACTATGAAGTGCAATTCTACTCTGACACACATGGGGTCACCATGAGTCACGATGGTGACTGGTTAGTTAGGGTGGAGAAGATCGTTAAACCTACCAGAATAGCATGAGTTGCTTCACAGGGGTTGTGGTGGAGATCTGAGATGAAAGTATAGCACCTGGAACACAGCAGTTACTCAGAGAAAGGGGGTTGTTGTCATTTCCTCATTATAGAAGAGCAAACAGACTCAGAAAGGTGAAGACACTTGTTTGAGCTCATATATTTTAGTCAATCCTAGCCCCCTGTTTTGAAACTCTGCAACCCCACCTCCTAAACGTGCCTCCTCCCAAACATGTAACTGGTGATTAATCAGACAGAAAAAAACATGTGAGGCAAAGCTGAGTCAGGCCAAGTCCACCAGCCTATGGAGACCAGGGAAGACTTTCTGGGAGAAGTAACCCTCAAAAAAAAAAAACAAACCTCTAAAGTGTAAATAGGTATAGTCAGAGAGATGTAGGAGGTAGGGTATTCCAGATGGAGGACAGGGTTTGGATCAAGGTTGTTGTTGTTGTTAAGTGCCGTCGAGTCGATTCCGACCCATAGCGACCCTGTACAGGGTTTCCGAGGGTGTAAATCCTTACGGGAGTAGAAAGCCTCATCTTTCTCCCGCGGAGCGGCTGGTAGTTTCGAACCGCTGACCTTAAGGTTCGCAGCCCGATTCACAACCACTACGCTACCAGAGCTCCTTTTGGATCAAGGTAGGAAGAAATAATATGTGTGTAGGGCATTTATATGATCTCTATTCTGTTGGTCCTAAATTATCCAAATGATGTTCGATTTCTGATCATCTATGTTCTGATTGAATGGATTTATATTTCCCATCATTCGCTTTACCTATCTTCTCACACACATCCTTTTATAGTCTTGACCTATGCTCATCTGTTTGAATATTTAAGTATTTTCCATTCCTCAGTCAACAGTTTATTTGGTCTAGCTGCAATGCACCAGAAATGTCTGTTTTTTATGTAGGGGGAAAGACTGTGGAGAAGCAGGATGGATTATTATGATTATTATTATGAACTTTTTATTGTGAATTGAGTGAAGATTTACAGACAAGATCATTAGTCTCATATGAAACAAATCATACACTTGGTTTCAGCTCCATGATTACAATCCCCTCCATGTAACAACAGTTAGCGCACTTCCTGCCTGTTTTCATTCCACCCACCTTCCCATCCCTTCTCAACGTTGTCCTTAGGTAAATGTTGCCCTTTTGATTTTGAATGATTGACCATTCCGTGGTAAGCACACCTTACTAGTGGTATTGTCTCCCCTACATAGCTATCTACTGTTAGCTGAAAATTGGGCTGTGAGGGAGAGTTCCTTTTCAGAGCATAGTTTCAGGTTCCTCCAGTCTCTTTCTAACCAGTAAACCTGGTCTTTTTTTTTTTTTTTTTAGATGTTTTCTCCCATGTGTGTTGTTTTGGTTTTTTTCTTAAGTTTTTTTGTGAATTATGTAATAGTTTACATTTGAGAATATTAGCTTTACTTACATTCATCCTATCCTTATTTCGTTTCATTGCATGATTTCAATCCCCTCTATGCATCATCAAACAACCAAAGAGTACACCTCACAAGCCTACCCTCCACCCATCAATACACAGACCCTCTCTCTTCCTGAGGCCAGAGTCCCCAGCTGCTCCATCTCTCCACATCATCGTCTCTGCCTCCATCTCTGCCATCACTGCTTCTCTGGATAGGGTCAAGCTCTCTGCTTTTCTCCCTTGATGGTCCCAGGGACCTCTACTCCTGGAGTGCAAAATCAACCACTCGCCTCCTTTTGCTACAAATCGTCTACCTTTACATTTCCAACACACACATTCAGTCCTGATAGCAATTATTCACTATTGAACCACAAGAGTCTTATCCCCATCTCCTTTTATCAGCCCCATCCAAACAAGTTGGAAACCACTCTGGGAAGATTCTACATTCCCCTATGCCCTCTGGAACTAGGCTCCCTGTTGAAAGCTTGTAAGCCATCGCTTCTTGCCTTGGTAGCCCCCTACATTTTGGGTAGCCAACGTCTTAGTTGTCCACCCTGTCGACCCTGTATACCAAGGGGGATAGGAATGATCCTCGCTGTAAAGATTTGTTCCCTCTTTGAGCTACTATATCCACAAGCATGGGTCAAGCTCATCAAATTGTAGTGGATTACTTTTTTTTTTCCTATTCTTTCTTCTTCTAGTCTAGTTCTGATCATCCAGCCATTGAAGCCAGGTCAAGTGAGCACTATCTACAAGTATGGGCATTCTTGTGCATCTCCCCTCACTTCATTATCAGCTGGACTCTTCACTCTCCACTCTAGTCCTCTGTGGCCATGTCCCTGTCTCTGGGCCCTAGAGTCCCCAGGTCTTGCCATACTGCTGGCCAACCAGGTTTCAACCCAAGTTGAAACCCAGAAAGCTGGTCTTTTTTAAAAATAATTTTGAGCTTTGTTCCACATTTTCTGCTGCTCTATCTGGGACCTTCTAATGTGATCTCTTTCAGAGCAGTTGGTCATGGTAGCTGAGCACCATCCAGTTCTTCTACTCAGAGTTGTGGAGACTGATGGTTCCACGTTCCAATTGTCCGTTGGACTAATTGATTCCAAGTATCTTCAGTTCTCAGAAGTAGGATGGATTCTATTGACAAAAGTTTGATTCGCAAATACTTGAACCAATCACCACCATCCCTATGTAAAATAATAAAAGGAAAGAAGGTGCGAAGGAAAAAATGGATAGAGAAAGGAGAAGAAAAAAAGAGAGAAAAGACGGGAGGAAAGGAAGACAGAGTAAAGAAGAAAACATGCAGAGCTGCAAGGAGTTCATATTTCTGTAATTAATCATAAGAGCAGAGTTGGTATGTAGAAGTTTCTTTTTCCATTAGTCATTCCATGTTTCCTTTACCTAGTCGAGTTAGCCAAACCTTCATTCCTTTACGGTCTGTATCGTCAGTGGTCCTGTCTTTTGTTGTTGTTGTTGTTTTTGGTATGGACATGGAAATTCTAAGAGGTACCCAGATCATGTGTTGGTTTCCAGACATGACTTTCTTTGGCCCTGTGTTTTAACAGTCAATGAAAATCTCCTTGGCAACTGAGATCAACAACTCCAGTAAATGCAGTCATCCTCTCCTTTGCCCCTTGGTTCTGTGGCCTGAGGAGCTCCAAATGGCCAAGTGGCAGTGTTGTGTTTTATTCAGTAGTACCGCTATGTTCCCTGGTGGAGGAATTCTTTTCTTGGGAATCAAGACTTCCAAACCAGCAGAGCTCAAAATTATGAGGAGGGGAAGCAAACATTCTGTGTGTGGGTATTAAGTACAACAAAAAGAGGAGGTGCCCCACTCCTTGGTACCCAGACTCACGCATTCAAACCATGGGTGAGACATCAATGTGAACTGGTCATTAAATCAATGCATATACTACATCCTGTAAGACAGAATCTCATCTTTTCAGGGTGTACACTCCAAACCGGCCCAATAATTGAGTCATTCTATTGTTTCTCAAGTGGCCTGCTTCTAGGTGATGGGCATGAAGTAAGACCAGTGAAATCCACGGGCATGAGCTCGTTCCCACACTGTATTCACTCCGTAATGAGTTCCCTGGCAGGAAGCAATGCTGTGTGAAAAGCAATGCTTTATAATGCTAAGGAGGGACTTTAATGTGTGATAGGAAGAACAAGTAAAGCACTCAACCGTTAAGTTTCCATTTCTACACAGAGAGCAGCATCAAGCGTGGGTCTTAGAAATGAAACTATGGTAGTGAGAAAACAGCATTTGGTCTACCAAACTTTCATGACTACATCTCAGTATTCAATCACTCATTGAGATTCTCCTATACTCCTGACCCTGCACTGGGCACTGAGACCATGGAGTTGAGTCCCAGACCCAGAGGATTCCCTCCCAATCTGATAGGAGAGGGAGATAACCACAGGCCAAGGAGAGACTGCAGGACAAGAACCAGAGTTGTGGTAGGGTTGTACTCACGCTGTTTCCATTGGGAGGAGAACCTAGTAGCAGGTCTTAATGCTTCCAGGTAG